ACACTCGGCACTCTCACACACAGCACTCACACACATCACACTCAGCACTCTCACACTCAGCACTCTCACACACACCACACTCAGCACTCTCACACTCAGCACTCACACACATCACACTCAGCACTCTCACACTCAGCACTCTCACACACACCACACTCAGCACTCTCACACACATCACACTCAGCACTCTCACACTCCGCACACTCACACACAGCACACTCAGCACTCTCACACTCACACACATCACACTCAGCACTCTCACACACATCACACTCAGCACTCTCACACACAGCACTCACACACACATCACACTCAGCACTCTCACACACAGCACTCACACACACATCACACACATCACTCTCTCACACTCAGCACTCTCACACACAGCACTCTCACGCACATCACACTCAGCACTCTCACACACATCACACACAGCACTCTCACACACAGCACTCTCACACACACCACACTCAGCACTCTCACACACAGCACTCTCACACACAGCACTCACACACACCACACTCAGCACTCTCACACACAGCACTCACACACACATCACACTCAGCACTCTCACACACATCACACTCAGCACTCTCCTCAGCACTCTCCCACACACATCCCTCAGCCTCCTCACACATCACACTCAGCACTCTCACACACAGCACTCCACACACACAGCACACTCAGCACTCTCACACACAGCACACTCAGCACTCCCACACACAGCACACTCACACACATCACACTCAGCACTCTCACACACAGCACACTCAGCACTCCCACACTCAGCACTCACACACAGCACACTCAGCACTCCCACACACAGCACACTCAGCACTCACGCACACTCAGCACTCTCACACACAGTACTCTCACACACATCACACTCAGCACTCTCACACACAACACTCACACACACAGCACACTCAGCACTCTCACACACAGCACACTCAGCACTCCCACACACAGCACACTCACACACATCACACTCAGCACTCTCACACACAGCACTCTCACACTCAGCACTCACACACACATCACACTCAGCACTCTCACACACAGCACTCACACATACAGCACACTCAGCACTCTCACACACAGCACACTCAGCACTCCCACACACAGCACACTCACACACATCACACTCAGCACTCTCACACTCAGCACTCCCACACTCAGCACTCTCACACACAGCACACTCAGCACTCCCACACACAGCACACTCAGCACTCTCACACATAGCACACTCAGCACTCCCACACACAGCACACTCAGCACTCTCACACACATCACACTCAGCACCCTCACACACAGCATTCATCACACACACATACTGCTCCCCTCACATACACACAGAACCTCCCCAACACACTGCCCCACACACATACACAATACTTCCATACATATATATATATATATATATACACACAAAGCACCCCTCACACATACTGCTCCCCTAAACACATTACATTCCAGACACACACTAGATCCCTTACCCAACTCTGGATCATCTACACACATACACACATTAGATCTCTATATACACTCTGAATCCGTTATAAACGCACGCTCACTAGATCTCCTAGACACATTCTGGGTCCTTCAAACACACACTAGACTCCTTGTAAGCCAACACATACTACACCCCTAAACACACACTTTCTACACACACTACATCACCTATACACACACACACACACACACTCCATTCCTGACACACACACTCTGGATCCCCTCGTGTCTTGCCCCCCTCTGGATTTTCCAGCTTGTGCTGCTATATTTGTGCTGTGAATGTTAAAAGGCAGGAAGCTACAACTTATCCTTGTCTCTCGCTCATGGCTGTGAAACCGCAGGGGAGCAGCACAGAGGCAGCCTACAGAGCAGGTAAGTGAGGGATGGGGGAGCAGCCTACAGAGCAGGTAAGTGAGGGATGGGGGAGCAGCCTACAGAGCAGGTAAGTGAGGGATGGGGGGCAGCCTACAGAGCAGGTAAGTGAGGGATGGGGGGCAGCCTACCGGTAGAGGTGATGGATGGGGGCAGCCCTGAGCAGGCCCAGAGGCGGGGATGAGGCAGCCTACAAGAGCAGGCCAGAAGAGTGAGGATGGGGCACCTAGCCACCCTCATCACCTCACTATTACCCCCTCACTATCAAACCCCCTCAGCATCACCCCCCTCACTATCACCACCCTCAGCATCACCCCCCCTCACTATCACCACCCTGTAGCGGAGAGGTAGTATAATCTACAGTATCTCCGCTGAGTAACAGGAACAGCATAAAATAATCCATGTAAATGAATACAGCATACAATAATCCCGGTAGCGTAGTAAGAATCCTTCCTTCCCAAGAACTAGACGACACATAGGCTGGGAGTCAACTGAAGTTTTATTCACAGGTCACAGTATTTATGGGATTCCCCATGCAAGGGGTTTCCCTACTGACATTCCAGGGGTGGGACAGTAGGGGACTACATGGGGAACTGACCAACACACACATTTCTCCCATCATGCACTGCTGTATACTCCCACTGGAATATACCGTTAATGGGATTATCCCTCCGTGCAGCAGAATTTACATTTTACAATAAAATACATAACTTCCATAATATTTCCCTGATTTACACGACTGAGCGCACAGTTCGTGAGAATACCGCTCAGCTCCCAGTCTAACTAACCGAACGCCGCACGAAATACATATTATTTTCCACATACCGTTAAAAAAACGATTAGTATAAGGGGAACGAACTACCGAATGCCCGGGGCTCCCGAACGGCCTGGAAGTCCAGCGGGCTTCGCGCCATCGAGCAGCCAATTTTAGTTCCAGGCGCTCGACGGCAAAACCCCGCTGTGCGAACAAAGGAATCAAAATGACCAACCGCCGCGTGGTCGGTAGCCGAACGACGGCCACGTAGGGAAGCTTTTAATGGATGCCACACAACCTCTTGTGTGTGGTCGACCATTCGGTAGTTCATTCGTTTCACGAACAGTGTTGAAACTCACTGTTCGTGAAACTACATAGGGAATGCTGGGCTTTTCACGCTGTAGCATACAAACGCCCTCGTTCGCATGAAAGCCACATACAATATTGTACTTGGTTCTTACAGCAAGACAAAGATTTCCACACATGCAATACAGGAATAGTCTTAAGTGGCTAGTTTTGCCACACCCTCTCTCACACCCTCAGCATCCCCCCTCACTATTACCCCCCCTCACCAACCACACCCCCCTCACTATAACCCCCTCTCACACCCTCAGCATCCCCCCTCACTATCACCCCCCTCACCACCTTCACCACGCTGACCATCACCACCCCCCTCTCACACCCTCAGCATCCCCCCCTCACCACCCCCTCACCATCACCCCCCTCATCACTCTCAGCATCCCCCACTCACTATCACTGCCTGACTATTATCCCCCTCAGCATCATCCCCCCTCACCATCACCCCCCTCTTCAAGCAGCTACCCCAAACACATAGGGTACCAGACAAAAACGCAAACATGCTCACAGAGACATACATTCACTCACACACACACACGGATACTCTCTGTCAGACACACTCTCAGGCACATACACAGGTAAACTGTGCATCAATGTGTATATGTGACAGTGTGCATATATTGCAACTCTATTTTTTTTCACTTTTTTGTTAGTGGGCTGCTGGGTAGGGGTGCCGCTGATTGGCTAGAGCGTCAGCTGGCACTCTAAGCCAATCAGTAGCTCCCCATTCATGAAAACGTAAAACATTTTTATGAATCGGGAACTTATCAGCGGCACCCATGCCTGACATCAATCTGCACTTCCTGACACTCCATTTAAGAAGCTGAATACCCCTGAGCGATCTGGAGCTGGAGGAAGCCTTTGGGGGTAAACCTTTTGAGAGTGGTTTCACCCCTTAAAGGAAAGAGAACGCCCAGGGGCAGGGCCGCATTAACATATGGGCTGATGGAGCTGCAGCTCCAGGCCCTGGCCCATGGAATAGGCCCATTTTAAAAAAAAAAAAAATGAAAAAAAGTTTTGTTACTTTTTTTTCTTTCTTTTTTTTTACACACTACTCTTAGGTTTGCCACCTGACTGGTATTTTACTGGCTCAGCCGATATTTGAGGCTGCCTGGCCATGCCAGTATTGCAGTAATACTGGCAATACAAATGCAGGTATTTTTCTCAGTATAAACGGAAATTACTCTGCAATACCAGCACCGGCCAGTAAGGGGTCACTGTGTGTGGAGAGAGGCAGAGATAGGAAGTTGCAGCATATCTCTGCCTCTCTCTACTACTCACTGATCCGTGGGGGAGCAGCGACACAGCACAGAGAGTCCAGACAGCAGCTCTACAGTGAAGGATGGGGGAAAGGCAGCAGGGAGAAATGGGGACACTGAGACACTAGGGGACACATGGGGACACAGACACTTAGGGACACTGGAAAACATGGGGACACAGAGACACTAGGGGACACTGTGAGACACAGGGATGCTGAGACATATGGGGACACTGTGAAACATAGGGACAGTGGGAGTCACTGAGACATTGGGACACAGATACACTAGGGGCACAGTGTCCCCCAGCCAGTGTCCCTAGTGTCTGTGTCCCCATGGCTCCCAGTTTCCCAGTGTCTATGTCTCTCAGTGTCTCCTGTGACTTAATGTCCCCATGTCTCCAGGTGCCCCCATGTCTCCAGGTGCCCCCATGTCTCCCGGTGCCCCCATGACTCCCAGCCAGTGTCCTCAGTGTCCCCATATCTCCCAGTGTCCCCAAGTCTCCCAGTGTCTATGTCCCCAAGTCTCTGTGTGCCTAGTGTCCCCATGTCTCCCAATGTCCCCAAATGTCTCAGTGTCCCCATGTCTCCCAGTGTCCCTATGTATATGTCCACAGGTGTCCCCATGTCTCCTAGGGTCCCCAAGTGTCTGTCTCCCAGCCATTGTCCTTAGTGTCTCAGTTTCCCCATGTCTCCCAGTGTCCCCTAGTCTCCCAGTCTTCCACTGTCTGTGTTCCCATGTCTCTGTGTCCCTAGTGTCTTTGTGTCCCCAAATGTTTCCGTGTCTCCTAGTGTCTGTGTCCCCATGTCTCTGTGTCCGTAGTGTCTCCATGTCTGTGTCCCTAGTGTCTTAGTGTCCCCAAAAGTTTCCATGTCCCCATGTCTCTGTGCCCCTAGTGTTTCAGTGTCCACATTTCTCCCAGTGTCCCCAAATGTCTCGGTGTCTCCATGTCTCCCAGTGTCCCCATGTCTCCCAGTGTCCCCAAATGTCTGTGTCCTCATGTCTCCCAGTGTCCCCATGTATATGTCCACAGATGTCTCCATGTCTCCCAGGGTCCCCAAGTGTTTGTCTCACTGCCATTGTCCCTAGTGTCTCAGTGTCCCCATGTCTCCCAGTGTCCCCTAGTCTCCCATTCTCCCACTGTCTGTGTTCCCATGTCTCTGTGTCCCTAGTGTCTTAGTGTCCCCAAATGTTTCCGTGTCTCCCAGTGTCCCCATGTCTCTGTGTCCCTAGTGTCTCCATGTCTGTGTCCCTAGTGTCTTAGTGTCCCCAAATGTTTTCATGCCTCCCAGTGTCTGTGTCCCCATGTCTCTGTGCCCCTAGTGTTTCAGTGTCCCCATTTCTCCCAGTGTCCCAAAATGTCTTGGTGTCCCCATGTTTCCCAGTGTCCCCATGTATGTATCCACAAGTGCCCGCATGTCTCATAGTGTCCCAAAGTGTCTTGGTGTCCCCATGTCTCCTGGTGTCCCCATGTCTCCCGGTGTCCCCATGTCTCACTGTGTCCCCTGGTATCCTAGTGACATGGGGGGACACAGACATGGGGACACTGAGACACTGGGAGACTATGAGACTGGTTGACATGGGGACACTGTGATACAAATAGACACGCAGACACTGGGTGACTTGTGAGACTGAGACACTGGGAGACAGGGAGACACTGGGAGCAATCCATCTATACAGCAGAATCAAATTGTGAGTAGTTTGTTGGTGATTTTACAGAATTTTCTCTTATGTCACTCCTTGTGATTTACATCATGTGGTGTCACGCATAACTAATTAATTATACAAATGAGTAAGCCCTTAATTTTTTTCCAAGAAAGGTGGCAACCCTAACTACTCTTCACATACTCTTGCTTAAAGGGACACTATAGGGTCAGGAACACAATCATTTATCCCTATTATATTAAAACCACCATCTAGCCCCCCTGGCCACCTCTTGCCTCCCTAGATATAGTCAAATCTTACTTGTATTCAAGTCTGCAGCTGCTGCCTCTGAACTGACTCTGTCTGCTGACATCAGTGGTGGTCTGAGCAAATTACAATGCTTCCCCATAGGATTGGCTGAGACTGTCAAATAGGCAGATCAGGGGCAGAGCCAGCACAAGTCCAACATAGCCCTGGCCAATCAGCATCTCCTCATAAAGATACATTGAATCAATGTATCTCTATGAGGAAAGTTCAGTGTCTGCATGCAGAGGGTGGAGACACTGAATGGCAGTGCTGCACACTAGGCAGTATTGCCTCAGGAAGCACCTCTAGCAGCCATCTAAGGAGCGGCCAGTGGAGTTATTTTCTCTAAAAAGACAGTGTTTACTGCAAAAAGCCTGAATGGAATGATTCTACTTACCAGAACAAATACAATAAGCTGTAGTTGTTCTGGTGACTATAGTGTCCCTTTAAGTTTGGAAGCTTAAGAGGGATGTATGGGAACAAAACTTGTGTGGACTGGCTGACATTAAAATTAGTTTAGGTAATGCAGACTTTGGTTTCTCTAACACTGTGGCATGTCCCCTTTCTTCTTCACTCACTACATACAGCTTTTCTCTCTCTCAGACTGTATACCAGGAATTTCTGCCTGCTAGTAAGAAGGTAAGGAGAGAAGTGGACATGCGAGTGCTAGGGGACAGTCCTTAGAAAGCGTGCAATAGGCGCATCAATTGATGCATTTATGTCAAGCTTAGGGTGCTGCCTGCATAGCATGCCCTTAGTTGGACAGCCTGCAGGATTGGCGGGCAGCCTGACATGCATTCATACCAGACTGACCTTCCAATTCTTTGGACAGACATGCCCCCTTTTTGAGCATGTTCAGGTCTGGGCACATGATTTGCACCAGTGGCACACCCTTTTACCCCGCCCATTGACTTCCTGCTTCACTGGACAATGCTGTTAGGGGGTATGCAATTACTTGAAAGATGAAAGCATAAATTAGAGAGAGATTAGCATAGAGTATGTGTTTTCGTATAGCTGCATCCTTTGAGTTTCCCTCCAGCACCATCTCCATCAGATACATGATGCTTGAGAGGTATGACCTATCTAGTGTTTTTGGTTGATAAGATTCTGTAATTAGGCCCATCTTAATTATCAGCACCAGGCCCACTTGGCTCTTAATCTGGCCATGCCCAGGGGCTTTCTGGCATCATAGCATTTTCATTTAGTTGAAGTTGTTATGGTGACCAGAATGTTCCTTTAATTTGATTAAAGGAACGCTATAGTGTCAGGAATGCAAACATATATTGCTGACACCATAGTTGTAAAAACGCTATTCACCCTGGCTTTATGGGATAATGACTATCCTCCTCCCCTTCATGACACTGTCAAAAAGGGACTAAGCATGGATGTCATTACAATTATGGCCCCTGGAAAAATTCCTGCGGACGCCTATGACTAGCTTGTTTTTTTTTAATTTTGCTAAAAGTGCAGATTTCAATAGAAATTGTCAGTTTTATAAATTAACCTCACAATGGTCTCCTCTTCCTCTGCTTCAAGGGTTGGAATAAAAGAGTGCCTTTGGCTATATACCTATTATAACGGTGGCCCCTACATGTATATGGTGGCCCGATACAGCCTGAAATGAAAGAATCCTTTCATGACGCAGAGAGGTGGAGATACCAAGCCTACCCAGCTACAGTGATGGAAAGAGAACATTTGTGTAGAGACTAAAGGAGGCGATTCCTCCGAGATGCCAAATGCTAACTTGGTTTCAGGAATTAAGGAGGTGACTGTCAAATTCCTGACACATTCTTCAAAACAGAGTAAACGAGCAAAGGTAGATTTCTCAGGAAAATCACTACCATGCCGCACTCCACATACTGCATTTGCAGAAAATAAAATGTGTTTATTAATATTGTTACAAAAGGTCAGATCACAAAGTATAGAAACAATAGGAGCATGAGAACTGAGCAGCAAACGTCAGATGTGCTAAAAAATCCAAAGTGCTCGAAATCCCACAGTATTAGAAATAGATAAAGGGCATCGAACGGTACAACATACAAGCATAATCCCCCACATAATATAATCCACAGAGAGATATATCACCTGATACCACTGGCGTACATACCAGAGTCGCAGGGGTCGCGACTGCGACCGGGCCCGGCCCACCAGGGGGCCCGGCCGCCCCTGCGACCCGGTATGTACGCCCAGGGCCAGCCTCTTCCCCTGGGGGGCCCAGGAGCCGACCACCCCAGGGCCCCCCTGAAGCTGGCCTTGCTGACCCCGGGTGGCCGGTCGGGCAGGCAGGCGGGCGCGCGAGGGAGCACTCAACGCTTCCTCTTCAGCTCCCTCGCGCACCGCAATGATACCGGAGCCGGAAGATGACGTCATCTTCCGGCGCCGGCATCCCTACGCGGCGCGTGAGGGAGCTGAAGAGGAAGCACTGAGTGCTCCCTCGCGCGCGCGCCTGCCTGCCCGACCGGCCACCCGCCCAGGAGCCCCACTGGACCCCAGGGAATAATCCCCCCCAGCACTCCAAAAGGTAATGAGGCTGGGGGGATTATATTAAAAAAAAAAAAAAATCATGTGTGAGTGTTAGTGTTAGTGTGAGTGAGTGTTAGAGTGAGTGTTAGTGTGTGTGTCTGCTAGTGAGTGTTAGTGTGTTAGTGTGTGTGTCTGCTAGTGAGTGTGTTACTGTGTGTGTCTTACTGAGTCTGTTTGATGTCTGTTAGTGAGTGTGTGTTTGTCAATGAGAGTGTATGTTTTGTAAGTGAGTGTGTATGTCTGTCGCTGACTGTATCTCTGTCAGTAAATGTGTGTGTCTGTTAGCTAGTGTGTATGCGACTGTAAGTGTGTGTGTGTGTCTTCAGCACTTACCTTTCTCCAGCGCCGGACTCCCTTGGCGCTGAGGATCCCTCAGCCTCTCAGCTCCGAATGCGACCGCGCACACATTCAAACCGCCCATAGGAAAGCATTACTCAATGCTTTCCTATGGACGTTCAGTGTGCTCCTCTAGCGGCTGTCCGTGAGACAGCCACTAGAGGCTGGATTAACCCTCAGTGAAACATAGCAGTTTTTCTGAAACTGCTATGTTTTCAGCTGCAGGGTTAAAACTAGAGGGACCTGACACCCAGACAACTTCATTGAGTTGATGTGATCTGGGTGTCTGTAGTGGTCCTTTAAAGGACCACTATAGTGCCAGGAAAACATACTCGTTTTCCTGGCACTATAGTACCCTGAGGGTGCCCCCACCCTCAGGGACCCCCTCCCGCCCGGCTCTGGAAAGGGGAAAAGGGGTAAAACTTACCTTTTTCCAGCGCTGGGCGGAGAGCTCTCCTCCTCCGATCCTCCTCTTCTCCTCCCCGTCGGCTGTATGCGCACGCACGGCAAGAGCTGCGCGCGCATTCAGCCGGTCACATAGCCGGGGCTGTTCCAAGACATTCATAATGCTTTCCTATGGACGCTGGCGTGCTCTCACTGTGAAAATCACAATGAGAAGCACGCAAGCGCCTCTAGCGGCTGTCAATGGGACAGCCACTAGAGGAAATAGGGGAAGGCTTAACCCATTGATAAACACAGCAGTTTCTCTGAAACTGCTATGTTTATGAAAAAATGGGTTAACCCTAGCTCGACCTGGCACCCAGACCACTTCATTAAGCTGAAGTGGTCTGGGTGCCTAGAGTGGTCCTTTAAGTGTGTGTGCATCTTCATGCACTGGCGTACATACCGCGGTCGCAGGGGTCGCAGCCCTGTAACCCCTGCGACCAGGTGCCCACCGCCATGTGTTGCGGCCCAGCCCGCGCGGGGGGGCCCACGGATCAATTTTCGCACCGGGGCCCCATGGGTCATGTGTACGCCACTGCCTGATACGTCTCCTAGAAAGATAATCCATGGACAAACGAGTTCCATAAGTTATGGTGAAAGATTCCGTTATGTAGAAAGTGTTCTGTTCACAGTTCTAATTGATATATTCCATGGATTATCTTTCTAGGAGACGTATCAGGTTATATATCTTCAGTTCATCTTCTATCCAATATGACTGGTTG